CCCCAAAACCCCAAAACCCCAAAACCCCAAATTTACCACCAACAATTGAAAGAGAATTTTAGAGTATACTAAACATCTGCTATCATAGCTCTAACACAGTCCATTGGCATTTTGGCTTCTGAGAGACCTATAACTGGGACTCAGTATGTTAAGAATCCATGAGGATAGTCTGCATATTCCACAAGTTGGACATTTCAACTATTTTTGATCATCTTCTGCGTTAGAAGGAAGGACACATCTCTTAGAGGGTCTAACGAGCCTACAGCTATGATTGTAGGAGGAAACCGAGCTAATACTCTGTCGTCAGCAAAATGAGTGGTTAAATATGGGTCTTTGTCACATTCTCATTCTTCAGAAAGGTAGGAGTCTCTTCAGATTTCAAGGAAATTCGAGCTTAAAATAGGATCAATTAGCGAATAGATTAAAGAGGGATATACTACAGATTTGCTCATTGATAAAGCAGGGTATCACATGATTATTTTATCAGGCTTTCTGTATCCTCACTGAACTGCCAGCATTGATATAGCTGCTACCAGATTCCCTCCTGCAGAATCTCCAACGAGAACAATCTTTTCAGGTAGAATTCCTAGTTGAATGAAACCATATCTGACAATCCAGGTGTAAGCTTGCCAGACATCATCAATGGCTGCAGGATATTTGTACTCTGGAGAAAGTCTGTAATCTATCGAGAAAATTGGGCAATCGAGTTTATTAGCCCAAGTCCTTGTGTAGACTTGATGGCTCCCAGAAGACATGGTAATAAACCCCCCTCCATGGATATGAATAACAACCTTAGTGATGGGTTTGACGGGCTTTTCTTCTTTGAACCTTTTCTTGACTGTCTTCATAACTTCATTTAGTTTTTCATCGACTTGAATATTGTAGTCAGAAGCCATGTCTAAAAGATATTCATATTGATCATCAAGTAGCTCCAGGTCAAGCCTCCGATATTGGAACTTCGAGAAACTGAATGGAAGCTTCACATTAGATAACACCCGCACTTGTACATGAGTGTCAGGATTATGATCAATGTTGTACAAGAACTCGGACGCTTTTCTATTAGAGAAATCTCTATCGTAGCAATAGAACTGGTTTGGATATCCCTTAATCTCCTCTAATTTAGCAATAGTCTCAGGTGCGTACAGCTCCTTCATTTTGTTTATATCCAGCTCTGGCATTAATTTTGGAATATAAATAAGCTGGTTGATCATAACTTTAGATAAATTAAGCTGATAAGCAGTTACAACATGTTTTTGATCAAATATTTCAAACATTGACTTGGCTAATTTGACGTCAGGGTTTGATATAAATGTCATGTACTGGTCAACCCTCTTCGTCTTGTTCATGAAGAAAGTAAATGCACTTTTACCAGTTTGAATTAATTTATTAATACTTCCAGTTTGTTTGAGCCCTTTACTCATGGTTGCATTAGCAAGAATCACCCATTCTCAGAAATTGGAGTAAGCCTTGACTACTTTTCGTTCTTCTGGGAATGGATCATTCTGGTAATAGTAGTTCAGGAAGGTATTCCACTCTTCTGAGTCTTCTTCCTGAAAATATATTTCATCTTCAGAGTTGAACATTGATGAGTACATGAATTCATAACATTTCCTTAGCATGGATTGATAATATATAAGCTTCCTGAGTTCTTTTTGGTCGTCTTTATTCGAATCAGCCATAAACTCTTCCATTATGTCAGAAATAATTGTGTAATTTTCATAAAATCATTCGATAAAAACTCCGATAGAGTTGAGATTAACCCTGATGATACCATTCTTGATCTGCTCTATCTTATCATCGTCAGGAATCCAGAAGAAGTTTGGGAAAAACTCAGGGTAGTCCTCAACTTCTTGGTCTAAGACTTCCCTCTTTTCGAAGTCGAGTTCTTCATAAAAAGAGTCCTATTTTTAAGTGGTTGAGCTTACTTTTGGGAATTCTATTTCATCTAGAAAAACGCCCATGTAATCGTAGTGGAACCGGATGTTTTCACATAAAATTTTGAACAGCAAGAGAAGTCTCTCAACAGTTAAGGAAAGACTCTTGAGGAAAGTTCTGGTGTTGAAGCATGCTGCTTTATCACTCAACTCACAGCTGAATTTAGTTTCTAGTAATATCTTCGCATTGTTATTAAGTCTGAAGAAGGTAGATCTACGTTCATGTTAGCACAAGATTGTAAAAATATAAGTCTAAAGACATATAGCTTACGCAGTTTTCGATATCAGATTGATCAGCAGTTCAACCGTCCATTTAATGTTCTTATATTCCTTCGCATCCAACAACTTTTGTTTGAAATCCATTATTTAAATTCTTTTCTCTCAATTATTATATTTAAGGTTGGGGTTTTGGGGTTTTGGGGTTTTGGGGTTTTGGGG